ATTTTCAAAAAGTAGCTAATTTTCAGAAAAAATCAATTTGGTTTTTACAAAAAATGGCTCCAAAATCACCCCAAATTTTATGACATTTTCTGGTATGTATTGGTATTCTTATATGCTGTGTAGAAAGTTTGAGCTGATTCTGACTTTAATTTTTTAAGTAATGGTCATTTTAAGAAAGTGCTAACATTCTGAAAATACCCATAGGGTTTTTTCCAAGAAATGGCTCCAAAATCATCCCAAACTTATCAGTATGGTTACTAATAGTTATTAATGGCTATTAATATTTATTGTATTTGTGACCATAATTGACAAAAGGTACCTTATGGCGGAATTTAAAATTCATTATTATAATGAAAAATATCAACCTGTGAGTGCTCTGTTGGACAACCATTGCTTCTAAAAGTTACATAATAACTTTTTGCATCCTATGGAGTAATTTTATGATAAATGGAGCTCAGAAAGTTAATTTTTTTTTGGCTATAAAGACAGATTTCACTACCCACCATAAGGTACCTTTTGTCAATTATGGTCACATTTTATCTTTCTAATTTATAGTTATACATGATGAATAGCAGTTTAGTACAGGTATGATAAGCTGTTATACTAAAATAGCAAGGCTGTATGGATTAAAAGTAAGTACATGTATGTGTGCTATTGTAGCTTACCTTTCTTTATTACACTTTGTTGTTCTTTTTACGTAGCATGATAAGGGATGAATGAAAGTTACTACAGGTAAGATGGAGCCTTTTTGACTAGAAATAAAAATTAGGAATGAAGTCCATATTGTTGCTAATATGGAGACTGAATATAAAAGACATAAGTCATATCATTATAGAATCAAATATAAAGTAATTGGATATGAGTGCATGGTTACCCAATCCAGACGAGGTACAATAATTATGTTCATGTATACCATGCCTAGAGCAATATACATGTATATACAAGAAACATTCATAATACATGTACATGTTTCAAATAAATACTGCACAGCAAGAAACTTTTGTTGCTCCAATTTTTTTGCAAATTTCATCATTTAAAAATCTATATTAATAGCAGTGTTGTGACCAAAAAATAAGTAGAAATTAGAAAATTGGGAAAATAGGATGTCACTACAACAAATTAGACCATCATAACTTGTCATACATGTGAAATTGTGAATGAACTTTTTTATCACCAAATATTGGCAATAATTATGCCTGTACATGTACCTAAGTTTGTATGATACACTTAATGTTACTCGATCATTAAATTTGTAATTGTCAATTAAATGCAATTTTTAGTAATTGTCTTACGTGTTTGTCATTGTTGGAGAAGAAGTTGGTCACATTGGGTGCCGTCTGTGCTGGATCACTCTCTCTGAGGACTTGAACCTTCCTTACATTGGTAATGGACATCAAAAGTATTAATAATAGTAATAGTGGGAATTGTTAACAATATTAGTATATGGTGGTTTTGCAAATGTAGTTGTTATATTGGTAATTTTGGAGTCGTGTGTCATTGAACATATTGATGCTCAGCCTGAATGAAATTAAATTACGTGCCTTATCATGAGTGCATATTAATTTAGGTATTACTGGTGTCTGCTCTTGGTTTTATCATAGCAGTTTTCTACGTTATTACCAATTACGTATATGGTTTTTTTTTCACTTTCCCTATTCAACTCTCCTAATTGTTCTTACAATTTTTACTTTCTTCCTTCAGATGAGTTTCAAGTTAGTTCTGATCTTAATGACTTGCTGACAAGAGAGCAGCTGCTTATGAAGTTAGTAGTCTCCCACTTCTCCCTCTCTTTATACTTGCATTTCTCACTCCTCTCTTTCTTTATTTCTCTCTCCATTTACCCTTCACATTCTCTCTCTTATTTTCAGCAGGAGGGAGGCAATGAAGGTAATGGACATTGTCCTATACACTGTACCAGACTACCAGTACATGTATGTGTTGTATTCATGTACTTGTATGCATACACTTTACTGTATTAATAAGACAGTACTGATAATAAATTAAATGGCTATGATGACTGATGAGGTTGTACTTGTGGGAGATGTACAATTTAGTGCTTATTATTATTGCTATGCATATATCTTATTAGTCTATTGTGGTTTACTTAATTATCTCTAGTTATGTAACATGCACAGAACATTCTAGACTGACCACATGTATTATACTATATATTGTTCTATATTGTTCTTTTGTTCTGTTCACTTCCTTTGTTCTGGTTCTCTCTCTCTCTCTCTCGCTCCTCTTTGCTCTCTTAGTTTATCTTATGTGATTATCACTTGTCAAGTGTTGAGAGTTTTTATGTTGTTTCAATAATTACCAGTTTATATCAGTGCTTTGTACATGTACATGTACTTGCGTTATACATAAACTTTTGTGTAGATACCAGCAATACTACATACATGCATAATGTACAGTGCATGTTCATACTGTACTGGTACAATAATTTATATTTTTACAATTGTTTATTATCAAATTTAACATGTACATTATTTAGAACCATTCCATGTATCACTAGTATGGCTTGATGTACATGTACACAGTCACTGGTTATGTGTTAATGTACCCTATATTCAGTCATTATGTACATGTAGCTAACGTGTTCATTTATTAAGAAATTAAAGTTTATCTGCTCTTTAAGGAGATACCAGCCATTGGCAGCCAACACCTCTTACTGTACAAACAATAATTATTTATTTATTTATTTATTATGAGGAGCTCCTCTTTTGTCTGTATAGGAAACTCTCACTGGTTTCAAGTGGATGGGCAACTTAAGCTACACCTTCCTTGAGAAAGGAGAGGAGGTTCTCTTCGCTTTTGAAGAAGCAATTGGATTCATGTTTGGTACTACAGTACTGGATATAGTGGAGCTGCTGTGATTGGAGAAATGGCTGCCTACCTTTACTCTAATGGACAGACATTCTCTTCACTGTTGGAAGACATTTATTTATGGTCGAGTTGTCTCAAGTAATTCTCATTTTATATGTCACTCAAAAAAAACGATAAAAGAACCCTTTGATGGACTGAGAAAAGATGAGCAAGTAATTATAATGAGCTATAGCTCATTATAATTACCTGTCCATCTTTTCTCAGTCCATGCATCAAAGGGTTCTTTTATGGTTTCTTTCAAAATACACTATAGTGTATTTTGAATAAAATAATATTAAATATCCCTCTCTCTCTAGTCTCGTGGTGCCAAACCATGCCCTCGGTACCTGCAGGTACAGAGGGCGTGGTCTGGCACTGCAAGATTGAGACTACTCTCTTTTTCCTAGTACAGTACTCCCAGTACTTGTGGTTCAGCTGGTGTTTCTAGTGTATGTGATACTACTGTTGGGTATGACAGTACCAGACCTCCTCACTATAAACCAGCAGGTGTAGCCTGTCAAGCAGGTTTACTAGTATTATAATTTATAATACCAGTCAGTATTACTAGTATTACAAACAGGTATTACCAGTTCATCCTGCATCGTAGTCAGATGATCATGTTCTCTTTGTGAGTTTACTTTGAGGACCTCACTTAGGGATAGGACTGCACTAAAGATCAAGTATTACATGTATGCATACACTATACATGTTCAGTCTTCCTGGAGTACAGTATGTTTTACCGACATTTTACATTATATTAATTGTATATTATTATTTTTAGTATTGATGAGTCTTCACTTAAAGTTACTCTATCTTATACTGTTGATGATATTATTAAAGAGGGAACGCCAGTTTAATTCGTGACTCTTTACCTCTGGGTCCCTCCCTTTAACTTATTATTGTTGTTGTTGTCATTATTGTTATTGTTATTGTTGTTATTATTGTTATTGTTATTATCGTTATTATTATTGTTGTTATTGTTGTTGTTGTTGTTGTTGTTATTGTCGTTGTCGTTAATGAATTTATTAAATCAAATTATTATAATTTAATATATAGATCAATTTATTAAGAGATGTTATGTACAATGTATGTCTCTTGTAAGGTATTTCTCATCAATATAATCTCAGCTAAGGCTGCGTTTACACAGCAAACTTATCACGGTTGTGATAAGTTTGTTTATTTATTTATAACTTTCCAGCACTGACAAAATAAAATGGAAGAAGATAAAAAGCAAGAAAAAAGCAAAGCAAAAAGCAAGGTCAACCTGAGACGTGCCCAGGCAGCCAGCATAAAAACAGAAATTAGTTACAGTAAAAAAATTAAATTAAATTAGTTAGTAAAATTACAGGTAGGAGAAGAGACGAAACATCAAGAGCAAGGACAATGAAGGTGGAAAGAGCACTGGTTCGAGGGGTCAAAGTGTTGCATAAAATGGTGTTGTTTAATAGCCATGACTATGAGCCTAGAGCACTTAGTTTTTTAATTTAAAAAGTTTTTAAAAAATCTGATTGAAATTATTGGACAGGACACAGAAAATAATAATAACAATAACTAGTGGGCAAAATTTCTATTACGGGGTGTAATCAACTGACTGTCTAAGAAATAATGCAATCCTTTGGTGGTGGTTCTTCAATGGGAGGAGGAGGAGGATCATCCTATTTATAGAAGAAAAGGAAATTGTGTTACTTTTTATAGACACAAATAAAGTTACTATTTATAGTAACATACACTATGCCACACATACAATACACATATACTATACATTTATACGTGTACCTGCTGGTAAAAAATTTCTTCCTGTTCACAAGCAGCATGGGAAGTAGAAGTGGGGCTGACTCTTACTGGAGCAGTTGGGGGAATGGAGGGAAAGGTTTGGATGCCAACGTCTGTCTCAGCAACTTCAAGGGAAGGAGGAGGGAGGGGGGTATTGCCTGCCACCTCCATGAAGGACTCCTCTCTATGCTGACTAAAGGTAGCAACAACCTAGAGAAAGATTGGAAGAAGAGAGAAATAAATCCAATTCATCTCGGTTTTAATTATTATCTTTAAAAAGTAAAGAAAATGTTAATTATGTACATGTACTATTATGTTTCGCATTGGCGGCTATTGCATTAATTACTATTACAATGTTATAATTCAATTAGCAAGAAAATAGAAACAGAAGATTACTAGAAATATTCACCAAATGCACGCCTACATGTATTTGATATATACATGTACATAAGTATGTACATTGTACAAAACTGTATATGTACATGAATTTAGCTAATAGAGCTATGCTTTACCAGTTGGCTTTATAAAGAGGCACAATGTATACTAGCAATTAGACTATATACAACATGCATGAAACTTGCCTCTCCATTTTTGGTGCAAAGAGATGTTGATGTCCTTGATCCAAAGCCCCAGTTATTGACTGCCTTCCAAATAATGTCAGACGGAGGAGAATGAACAGCACCATCTATGCCTGCAGCCCATATCTAGAAAGAGAAAGAATTAATTAATTAAATCCTGTAATTTCTTGTGATCCACTCACTGTTACAGCAGCTCCTCCTAGTAGCTTTGATTTGCTATGGAAACGGAACTCCACCTTCTCTCCAGTGTTCTCCACTTCATGTATAATTTTAAAACCACCAAGATGCTCAATCTATACAGGTGTATACATATAAACATGTACATGTGACTTACAAAAATACATGAGTAATTAATCATTATATGCAGTTACATGTATATACTTATATCCTATTGATGATGCACATCAAAGGTACTGCATGCACTATAATCCAGCAAGACCACAGCAGTGATCTAAGCCCCCCACAACAATGTTTTAACCCACCACAATGATGTTATAACCAACCCACAATTTAATCAAATATTTTTATCATTATTTGAAAAAAACAATTATTCCTGATGGTCTGGTGTAGGATTATATGCACCATGATACACATTAATTGTGCACCCATTCAGAGATGCTGGACTTCATATCAAGTAACTGCTCCACAGCCATTTAACTTTGCCACACCTAGAAAGTGGGAGAAATGGTTCCGTAGATTTGAGCGGTTCAGAGGGGCATCAGGTCTCTTTGAGAAAGAAGAAGAGGTGCAAGTCAATACCCTGATTTATATGATGGGTGCCGAAGCAGACAAAATATTTCGTTTTTTCAAACTCACAACAGCCCAAGCTAAGAAATATGATACAGTGATAGAGAAGTTCACATCACACTTCATCAAGAAACGGAATGTAATATATGAACGAGCGAGATTTAATATGAGATGCCAGGAGGAGGGAGAATCAGTAGATGCTTTTGTCACGAATTTTTACTCGCTAGCAGAACATTGTGGCTTCAAAAATATACACGATCAGTTGATACGAGATAGGATCGTGGTTGGTATTCGAGATGCAAAGCTGTCCTCACATTAAAGAAAGCAGTCACGGCTATTCGACAGAGTGAAACAGTTAAGGCTCAACACAGATGAGAGACAAAGTGAACCTGTTGGAGGAGTTCAATCACAGAAAAGACCTCTGTCCAAAAAGACACCAAACAAGAGAAACAATTGCTCGAGGTGTGGTAAACAACACCCTCCATAAGGGAAGTGTCCAACAAGAGATGTAGTGTGCAGAAAATGCAAGAAGAGAGGACATTTTTAAGCTGTTTGTCGAACTGCAAAGGTCAGAGGAGTTCATGATATGAACGAGAAGAGCGGTGAGGCTTTTCTTGGAGAGTAGCAGTCCGTGGAATGTTACCTTATTATTGAATAACACGTCAGTTGCTTTCTGTATTGACACTGGGGCAGAAGTAACAGTTATCCCAGAATCAGTATACAAGTTATTAGGACGTCCCAATACAGTACCTATCAACAAGAATCTAAAGGGTCCTGATAATAGTTCATTAAGAGTCAAGTGTCAGTTTATAGGTAACTTCCAGAATGGAGACTTAACAGTTAATCAGAGCATATATGTGGTAGAGGATCTCCAGAAACCACTATTGGGCAGACCAGCAATTGAATCTTTACAAGTGCTTTAATGGATTGTGTTGATGAGTTTCAACATCTCTTTAAGGGATTAGGAAAATTGAGCCAATTCTATACAATTAAATTACAAGAAATCTTACTCACTTTCTACAGCTCAAAGAGTACCACTATAACTAATGGATGCAGTTAAGAGAGAGTTGGAACGAATGGAAAACCTGGGAGTCAGAGTAAATGAGCCTATAGAATGGTGTGCTGGGATGGTTCCAGTACCCAAGAAGAACGGCCAAGTAAGGATATGTGTTGATCTCACAAGACTGAATAAGAGTGTCCAGAGGGAGAGACATCAACTACCAGCTGTTGAACAAGTACTAGCTCAACTTAATGGAGCTAAGGTATTCTCTAAACTTGATGCCAACTCAGGTTTTTGGCAAATTTCCTTGGCACCAGAGTCTGCATTGCTCACTACATTTATCACTCCATTTGGTCGTTACTGTTTTCATCGCCTACCATTTGGGATTACATCAGCTTCAGAGCATTGTAATCAAAGGATCTCTGACATTCTGACTGGAGCTCAAGGAGTGGTGAGTATGACAGATGATATACTAGTCTTTGGAAAAGACTAGGACGAGCATGATGTACACCTATGGGAAGCTCTAAGACAAATCGAAGAAGCGAGGTTAACTCTAAATAGAGATAAGTGCCAGTTTTCTAAATCATGTGTCCATTTTTAGGTCAAATGGTGATAGTACAGGAATACATCCTGATCCAGACAAAGTATTAGCTTTTTGCCAAGTGAAAGAGACTCGCAACATCAGTGATATTTGGAGATTCTTGGGAATGTGTAATCAGATGAGCAAATTTATCCTGAATCTGGCTGATAAAACTAAGGTTTTATGGGGGTTGCTACTAAAAGACACTTAGCGGACATGGGAGCAGGCTCAGAAGGAGGCATTTAACAATCTCAAGGAGATTTTGTCTACAGTCCCTGTTCTCTCTTTGTATGATCCTAATGCTGAGACAACAGTATCAGCAGTTGCTTCTAATAATGGATTGGGAGCAGTACTACTCCAAACTCAGTCAGGAGGGGAGGTAAAGCCAATTGCATATGTGTCTAGATCATTATCTCCTGTTGAACAGAGATATGCACAGATAGAAAAGGAGGCACTGGCTTTTACGTGGGCGTGTGAGAGACTATTAGATTATTTGATCGAAATCAGATTTCACATACAAACAGATCACAAACCTCTGGTTCCTTTATTCAGTAACAAATCTTTTGAAAATCTACCAGTTTGAGTTCAGCGATTCGGACTTCGTATGATGAGATTTGACTATCTGATACCTCATGTACCAGGGAAGCAGTTGGTTATTGCAGATACCCTGTCAAGAGCTCCTTCAAGGGAACCAGTTGAGAGTGATTTGTTACTCACAACATGAAACAAGAGCCTTCATTGAGATGATTGTCAATGGACTACCAGCTACAGAGAAAAGATTGGAGGAGATAAAGCACTCTCAAGAACAAGATGAAACTTGCAGAGAGATAAAACAGTATTGTCTAGAAGGCTGGCCTCATAAAAGCCAAGTCAGCCAGAAAGTACGTCCATATTACACTGTATCAGCAGAAATCTCATTGAGTGAAGGATTGCTGTTACGGGGGTCTCAAATCATCATTCCACAGTCTCTTAGAAAAAAAGTTCTACAACAAATACACGCTGGTCATCAAGGAATCACAAAATGTTGAGACAGAGCCAGACAGTCAGTTTGGTGGCCCAAATATCATCTCAGCTACAGGATGTAGTATCTAGCTGTAAAATATGTTGCCAGCATTACTCTCAAAGGGCAGAACCTCTTATTCCATCAGAACTCCCACAACTGCCTTGGCAGAAGGTTGGGATGGATTTGTTTGACTACAAAGGGTCAACATACTTACTTATCATTGACTACTACTCTCATTATATCGAAATAGCAAAGCTCAGTAAGACAACAGCTGGAGAAGTCATCAATCATTGCAAAAGTATTTATGCTAGACATGGCATTCCAGATATGAAGGTATCTGATAACAGACCACTGTTTGCAGCTGAATCCTTTAAAGAGTTTGCTCAGGCAACAACTTTGATCATGTAACTAGTAGTCCTTACTATCCACAGAGTAATGGGGAAGCAGAGAGAGCAGTCAAGACAATCAAGAACTTGCTTAAGAAGGAAGGTGACCCCTACTTATCTCTACTCACATACAGAAGTGCTCTTCTCTCTAATGGTTATAGTCCCTCAGGGCTACTGATGAGCAGAAGATTAAGGTCTAATATTCCATCTACTAGGGAATCGAGGGAACCAACTATTCCAGGCAGACATGAAGTAGAAGAGAAAGATAAGAAACAGGAAACAAATCAGAAACGTAATTATGATCATCGTCATGGTTCAAGAGAATTACCAGATTTGGAACCTGAAGATAAGGTCTGGATATCTAATAGACAAGAGCAAGCTCAGGTACAGAATCAAGGTGGAAACAGACAGCAATGTTATCTATCAACATAACAGGAGAGATCTTGTCACTATGCTATCTTCTCAAGATGATAAAACTACAGAGACAAACACAGAACCAGTCGTATAATTACTGAGAAGTACTCGTAGTACCACAAAACCCAATTGATGGGATCCTAGTTATAAGTAACTCAAAGAAGGAGAGATGTACTGTTATCATGTGATTATAGTTTATACACTATGCATACACAATCCCTGTACATGTACATGCCCAGTTACGTTATTGATTTGTGTTTTTAACTTGAATATTATTATCATGTTAGTTACTGAGCAGTAAATGCTTGTAGTAGCTGTGCCCTCTATCTTCTGCAATCCAAGCCTAATTCAACACAACCAAATAGTACATGTACATACAGTACAGTGAACTTTTTAGAAAATGGCTCATTTTTAAAATGGCCATAACTTAAAAAGTTTTAGTCAGAATCACCTCAAACTTTCTATTATCTATATAGCATAACGACATCAATATGCATCAGAAAATGTCATAAAAAATTAGGGGTAATTTTTTGGCCATTTTTTGGAAAAAGCATAGGCTATACTGTAGGGCACCTTTTTTTTAAGGGCTGTAAATTTCATGAATTTGCCTAAAAATCAATTTCGCAGATTTAATTTTCATGAATTTATGCCGTCTGCCACCTTGTACCGTAATAATTTGATTTTTGCAGAATTAATTTTTGCAAATCTTCAAGAAATAGTAAAATTCATGGAATTTACAGCCCTCGAAAAAAAGGCGCCCTATGGTATTACAGGGAATGAGCTCAAACTTTCTACACAGCATAAGGACATCAATACACAAAAAAATAAAATAAAAATTAGGGATGATTTCAGAGCCATTTTTTGAAAAAACCATGTACATCAAAATATCAACCTTAGTGTGCAATATGAAGCAATAATTTAATAAAAGGAAGAAGACTGACATGTACATGCATAAAAAATAAAAAGAGAGAATTCTAAACTATATGTTTGCAACCACAATCATTCCAACATGCTGTACCTTGTCAGACGTGTTTTTAATTTGTACAAAGCGTCCATCAGGATCAACGTCAATGATCTGCATAAATCCAACAGCATTAGAAGATGTAGCACCGACTTGCTTCTTCCTTTTAGAGCGAGGGCCTTCACCGTCACGAGCAACACGAGGTCTCTTCTCACGTGGAGTGGTCTGCAAACTGAGCCTACAAAAATATTATAAAATATAATATAAGCATAATTATAATTCATTCAGCAAATGCATGTGTATTTTTATTTCATAGCCATGCCTCTAAATTATAATTTAAATGTCAATTTGCCTCCTTTGCTCAAATCCGGTACCTTACCTCTGTTCCTCCTCCTGCAGTAGTGCAGAGAGGGTAGCAATCTCCTGCTCTAACTGCATCCTCAGATCAAGCCATTCTTCATATTCTTTCATCTTTCGATCATAATTGGCTCTCAGCGCACGCATCTCATCCATTAGGCGAGCTATCTCAGCAGAGTGGAGCTGCTTAGTTTGAGTCAACTCTTTTGACTTCTCTCTAAGAGCACTCTCAAGCTGTTCATTCTATACAAAAGAATAAACAAATAAAATATACTTATATATTACTGTTATTAGTAGTATTAATATTATTAGTAATTACTATTATTTTATTTTTGTCATTTATTGTCATTATTATTACTTTTACTGTCTTATAATTATTTAAAATAAATTAAGAGACATCCAATCCTCTCACAATGACTATAACTATTACAATACTTACATGCATAATCACCTGTATTAATATACATGTACCTTCTCCTGAAGTTTTTCAATGTCTCTGTTATTTTTAGCCAGTGTAGTGTGACAGTTCTTCAGCTCATCATCAAAACATACCCTAGCAGACGCGTCATGCTGACTCTGTGACTCCAATGACTCAAGCTATCAATAAAGGAAATATATGGATACTAATTAAAATAAACAAATCAGCATTAATTAGAACAAGATACAGGCAGGCACTAATTAAAATAAACTGTAATGTAGCACATATAAAGTACATACATATGTATGCTTGCATGTGCTTCAAGGTGGGGGGAGGATTAATTGGAAACCAGCATACCCTGATCTTGTAGCTCTCTTCAAGGTCAAGTTTAAATTGCTGAGTTTCTTTCTCAATCTCTTCTCTGGCCTCATCAATGGCCGCCTGAAGACGTTCGGCAAAATCATCATCAGTCTCTTTGACACCATCACGATGTACAGTGTCCAAACCAGTATGTTTTATAGTGAGTGCCCTTATCTCCTACATACATGTAGTTAGAATACAAAAATAATGAAAATATTATACTCATCCCAATTAACGCACCTCTTGATAAATAATGACATGTCTCAGGTGATGCAATGTTTAGATATAGGAACAATTATGAAATGCTCCAGGAGATGCTTGTTTACAGAGATGCTTAGCTAAGCCCAACATACACTATGCAACATTTGTTGTAAACAAAACGTTGCAACTTGTTGCATGCAACACAGTTTATACAAGAGTCATGCAACATGTTGCCCCATTGACTTCTGTATAAACTGTGTTGCATGCAACAAGTTGCAACGTTTTGTTTGCAACAAATGCTGCATAGTGTATGTTGGGCTTAAGTACACCTGTAAACAATGGGACTTTCTAATTGAAATGCACCTCTAAAAAATAATTATCTTGACCAGGAGGTGTACTCAATAGAAAGTTCTTATTGTGGAAGCCATGTAGAGGAGCAATAATTAGGAGGGTGCGTTAATTGGGGCAAGTATGATATACACAAATAAGTTGTATTTACAGATTATTATTATTATTATTATTATTATTATTATTATAAAGTTTACAGGAGGCCAAAGCCAACCTGATGGAATGCTAACAAAAATTGCTGACACCCACACCAGGCAAAAAATAAATAAATAAAACCACAAAAACACAGAAATGCTAAGTAAAAGAGGAAGGAGCTCACTAACAGAAAAATGACAAGATGAACAAGGGCACAAAAATTAAAAACATGCATTATCACTATTAAAATTAACTAAAAATGATTCTAAAAAAATTAATAAGGTTACTTTTAATAACTGGAAAAGATTTATCTAAATCAATATAAGGTAATTTATTCCAAAGACGCACAAGTCTAGGAAAATAAGAGTGATGGAAACAAGATGTACCCCATGGCAAATTTATAAAAGTAATAATAATTATAATAAATGAAAAACTCAAACCTCGTTATATCTGTTCATCTTGAAAGCAAGTTCCTCACGAAGAGTCTGATTCTGGTTCTGAATTTTAACTAGTGCAAGGGTCCCCTGGTCCAGAGAATCCTGAACATTCTTAAGACGAGAATGTAATTTATTAATCTCTTCTTCAAGGTCTTGTATCTAAGGGGGAGGAGGGAGAAGAGAAACATAAAAAAGAGGAAGGTCAATCTACTAAAATTAAAAATAAAATAAATGTATAACAACTATTTGTACATGTACATGTATATGTGCATGTACATGTAGATGTACTTAAACATTAAAGTGATGGTGTAAAATTATGACTAAGATTTAATCAACATGCAGATATTGCAAAAACAAAGAGCCTCAATTCTTAAGACAATTATTCATTACAATTATACTAGTGTATATTGTACCTTTTGTTTAGCAGACTGGTTGTCAACAAGTGAGGATTTGTACAAGCTCTCAAACGTCTCTGCACTTTTCTTAGCCTCAGCCAGTTCTTGTTGCATGCGCTCATAATCTTCATGAAACTTCTTTAGCCTTTCAGAGAAAAATAAAAAAATAGCAGAAATGATTATTATAAATACATGTATATACTATATTTATTGACAATTATTAAATCCTGAGATGCATTCAGTAAAACAACAACAATACGTTAAAAGACAAACATAAAACATACACCAAACATGACGGGATACTAAGTACAGCTAAAATCTATTCAGTTTCACCTGAACTATTGTTTTTTTGTTATAACTTTTGATAAACATGGAATTTAGAAATTTTGTTTGCACCATTAAAATTGCTAGGTCCTTCCCGTCTTTTAGAAAAAAAAATCTGGTCAAAATGATAAGGCCTTAGCCAATTTTGAATGTCCCTGTAGAAACTCAATGACATACCTTTGACCACAATTATGCAGTTAGAACAGCTAGAATAAAGGCCTTTTCACACATGTCCACTTTAGATCCAGAATTGCAACCTACTAAAATAGAATCCTCTTTGGTTGTGTTCACACTAAGCTACTTTGAAAGAATTAAGTGAATTAAATTACAAATATTTAATTAAGACCAATCCACTACGATCCCCCTCAATCCACCTCTGGATGTGGATTGACTGGATCTCCTGATTCAAGACAAGTGTGAACAAGCCAATCCTGTTTTAATCCTGGATTTTATCTCGATTCTGGATCAAAAGTGGACAAGTGTGAAAACTGAAAAGGCCTTAAATTCAGCTGCTACTTATCTGTATGGCTTCCTTGCAACAAAAACAATTCCAAAACCACAAATGTACCTAAAGAATGCAGATGTGGCATGTTATTTAATTTATTAATTGAAAAAAGCCAGGGGTCAGGTGAAAGTGAATAGACTTTAGTACATATTATATTATACACCCACCAATAATACCGAAAATGATACACGACTATGTGTACATGTACTTAATGAGTGGTTTACTTGTATGTACATGTACATGTATGCCTTTTATTTACAATTAGGAAAATCTAAAGTAGAGGTAGTTCATTACTACAAAGAGTCACAAATTGCTCAAATACAAAATATTTACAACAAGGCACTTGCCAGCTGCAAGTATTAGGCCTAGTACACAATATCATGCGTTGCGACAGGAAGAGCACCGGAAGTGCTGTACAAACGCTGCGAGTTATTGCATGAGTTGACCAAAGTTCAACTCTTGCGCTATTGACGCGTGTGCCATTGGTTTGTACAGCACTTTCGGTCGCAAGGCTGATATTGTGTACCAGGCCTTAGGATAGTATGACTCACAACCTGTAATAATGGGGTCGCACATGATGCGTGTCACCTCAGTATGATCAAACCTAACACCACTGAAAATACATGCACTGTATGGCACTCTATTGAATAATAATAGCAAGAACTCACAAAAATGAAAAGTTTTTCTATCCATCAGTCTTGTACAGTATAAAATTATTTCCTTTTTGAGGAATTTTAAAAATGAAATCCACAAAATTACAGCCATACCGTACAGTTAATCACAATGCCCGACCCACAACAAGTACACGAAAACAGGTGCTCAAAATCCATCCCTGCTCCCCCCCTTCATAATGGTAGGATTATAAACTCACTCCGTCTCTAAATCTTTGACTCTGTCTTCACTTTTAGCATACTGAATCTGATAATGTGCTTTCTCCTTGGCCGTCCTATCAGTGAGAAGACGTGAATCTTGAAGCTCCTTTTGAAATATCTTCTTGAGGGTGCTGGTCTCCTCCTGCGTAGTGGTCTGCATGTGATCTAGGGTAATGTTCAGCTTCTCATTCTCATCTCTCAAGCGACGGACTCGGTTTATGTAGGTTACGAATCGGTCATTGAGGAGTTGTAGGTCCTCCTTCTCTTTCATTCTAGTCCTCTTCTCCGGCGTGGGGAGAGAGGGAGAGCTGACTGCTTGCTGTTGGCTCATTCTTGATATAGATATTATAATAAATAAAATACTCTATAATATCTATGCAGAGGAGGCAGGTCATCAGTAGTGAACACTGTTTAAGTTTGAGCAATAATTGCTGCAAAGTTCAATTGCATTCCAATGATTCCATCGAAATCACGTGAGGAGAAATTGCCAAAATAGTTCGTTGTGTGGTTCCTGGGAGAGATGTCCACTGGTAGATCAGGTTAGCGCTTGTTACAAATATGATATCAAGTGTTAATGTTTGATTCACTTTATTTTCACTTTACTTTAGGAAGGGATACTGAATATGAAGGATGGTTATTATATGATGAGAAAGGTTTAAATGAGTATGTAGCAACATTTACTGTAACTAAGCCGGGTAGATCTAGAACATTTAATTTTATGGATGTAAGTATAATAGGTATTATTGTGTACATGATGTTTGTAATGTGTTTATTTACAGTATAAGAAAAAAAAGCACCCTAAAGCTGTGATAGGTCAAATTATCACCTTTAAATTTGTCCGGGAATATTCTACACCTTCATTAAGAGGTGATTATATTGAATTAAAGTTTGATACTCAACAAGATGAACCAACCATTGGATGGAGTATTAAACCTCACACAGTACCTTGTAGAGTAAGTACTTGTATCGTATATTATATAATTAATGTGTGTGTATGTATCAATAGATATATAGAAGTGATGTTGATGAGGTTTATGAACTTCCCTATCCTGATCCTCCCTCGTGCAGTATATCAGTGTTTGCTACACCTGATGCTGTTCCTACACTACGTTATGTAATAGCAGTGAAAGGTTCGGATGCCGTTACATTGGTCATTGAAAGGACATTGATAAGAGGTAAAATACCTTGTAGCTTGAAATTTTCGTGGAATGTAAATTTCGTGGTTTTCGTGGTTATGGCTGCCCACAAAATTAAAACCCACGAAATCATTGAAATTCCATCCCCTTATAGGCTATGTAAACTGTCAACCACGAAAATTAAACCACGAATTGCCCCACTAGGAGCAAACCATGAAAATATCGACCCACAAAAATATCGACCCACAAAAATATTGACCCACGAAAATTTCAAACTATACAGTAGATTTGAGTGGGTGTGGTCTAGTATTAATAACCACACCCATCACACTACTCACAATGCTGGTACTACTAATAATGATATTTATACCTTCAGTAGTATACATGTAAGTATTATATTAATAAGTAGTAATATACAGTATAGGTCAATAAAAATTTTCCATTGCATTCTCGTTGAACGTCATTAAAACACAAACGTTCCGTTTTATACTTCAGTCCGTTTTGAACTTCCGAGAACAGTGCGCTCCAGCGTTTTAGCTTTTCTTCACGTTAGAAATCACATTAACTGCTCAGGAGACATAAAGAAGGGCATTAACCTTTCTTTGTGATTTGGACAAGTATTTGGCAAGGCACATGGTGTGACTAGCCCGAACGTCAACCTCACTGATCAGTAAGCTTACTACTAGTACTTTTTTGATATATTTTTAACTTTAGGTACAGATTTTGGCTACTACATGATTCTAGATTCAAGTGGGTCTCTTCTAACAAAGAAAATGTTATTGATGTATTTTTATTTTATTATTCATTGATATTGAATTTTATGATTAATAATAATTAAGTTGCTACGCAATGACAAAACAATTGAGTAAATCCACCATTGTCTCTGTGCTAGTAGTACAGAATGATCTACATGCAACAGCTTAGGAAGGTTCTAACTACCAGTAAGAATAATAGCATCAACCACTTTCATGACAATAATTGAATAGCAACAATATAATTGTTTGATCTTTTGGGAAGATGAAGATTTATTTACCATTGTTGAATCAGACAAGGTTACAGCTGCTACATGTACAGGAGATGAGCTGGGAGATAAGATGGGATCTTAAAAATAAAGAGATTTAAACTTGTTTGAACCTGTAGTAGCCACAGTTTGACAGCTAACAGCTTGTGGTTACCTATGATTAAGGCCACTGTTTACACAGCAACAAAAATGATGCAATCTGTATAGTTTTGTGCCTGTGATGCGTTTTGCGTTGTTGTGTAAACGTAGCAGGCTAAGTCTATGCATGTATAATAATTGTAAGGAATGTAATGTCAATGATTTTAACAGGAACATATGAAGAAATGGAAGAGCTGGAATCATCAAAAATAGAAACAAATGATCCCACTGCAGTACATGTACTATTATAGGTACGTGTATAGACAAGGTCTCATTATAATTTTAGAAAAGAAGAAACAGAAGAAGTGTACTACAGGACAGAAGAGATTTGAAAGTGATGAGGCAAATGGAAATGATAAAAAGAAGAGGAAGAAGGAGAATAGTGGGAAAGGGAAAGAAAGGAATAGTAAGAAAGAAAGAAGACAGAGGAAAGCAAAAGAAGATAAGACTAGAAAAGAAAAAGGTATATGTACATGTATGCTACAGTATTGTTACTATATGTTTTACACACACACACATACACACACACACACACACACACACACACTATAGGAAGCATTATAACAGTAACATCGCCACCAGCATCAGCATTTTTGCTATTGATCATATCATCTCCATCATTGCTGTCAACGCCATTATTTCAGTCGATATGAAGTACTTCTTTACCTTCACTACCACCTCCTGTTATTAAAGAAATATCAGCATCCTCTGAACAACTCCCTTCATTATCTAAACAGATATTACCATCATCATCTGAATTACCATCATCTGTGTTATCAGGAATAGAAGGTTTGAAAAGTAGAATTGAAAACAACCAATGTACCATCCTAAATTATTTACATTACTTACAGTACCATCAACACTTTAACTTTACCCCTGCTTTTGGAACACCACCTTCAATACCAACTGTACCACCCTTTCAGATGCCAGTATCTTAGCCAGCAACAACAGCTATTTATCTAATGCAGTCCACTGAATCATCAACAGTGTCAACAACATTTAAAGTATCGACAGCATCAACTGTGTCTACATCATCTCCTTTGCCAATCAATACAAATAGCAAAAACCTTTTGTCATGGTCTCAGATAGAGAGAGGCAAACTACTGTCACTCGAAATTTTATTTGAAAAATACCACAACATGCGTAATGAAAGCAAAGCTCCTACATTTGCTTCAAGGGAAGCCATATTTGGTGAAAGTGTATTGAGGTAATATAGACCTTAAGGAAGCAAGGAATTAACTAACTGAACTTTAAAAACATGTATAGCCAGTTCCTACAGTACCACAATAGCCCGCATGAGTTTGAGTCCTTATGGAAGAAGTGTGTTGAATGTTGAATATTGTATTATAAACTTAAAAAAGAGATAGAGAGAAGGGGAGATACAAAAGAACAGGAACACACTAGGAAAAGATCAGGGAACAAAACCAAAAAACATCACTGTATATACTAGTCTGTGGTTAACTATGTAAACCATATGACTACAATAATCACAATAACTATAAATCATTTTATTTACAACACTCCTCCTTGATTGATAGTTATGGATGATTCACCAAACCAAGTTCCTTTCATAGATTTTCAAATCGAGCTTCAGGGAGGGGTTTAGGAAGAGATCAGCGA